ATGACAGAGCAGACGGCAGGCTTGACGCAGAGCTGGTTCTGAATCGGGGCCGGACTCTTTCCAGACACCGGAGGATACCTTCCCTCCAGCTCAGTCCAGTGGTGTCTGGGAGGTCCACGGGGCGATGGTAATTGGCCCCGATCCAGAACAACGAATTAAGAGTGGTGTCATCCAACCGAATTCCCGGGCGAATTCTACAAAGGGAAGATCTCTGTGGGCTATGGCGGCGAATCTTGCGGCTGTTTCCATTTTGAAATGTGGAATGGAAAACAAAACACATTCTAAAAACAGAAACAATAACACGGGGAGAAGGGGCTACTGTGAAGGAACGAGGAGACGAAGGGGAATTTGTGAAGAAAGTCTTTATTAATAAAAAAACCGCACACGTAGCACAGGGGATTGATGAACAAGACTGGAACACAGGGGCAGACCAAGGGTGTGACAGTCACATTGCATATGAATGATTTTGGACAGAAGCTGTTTACATTGAAAATTAAGTGGGGTTTTTTATGAGAATGAGAGCCTCACACACACACACACACACACACTCACTCACTCACTCACTCACTCACTCACTCACACACACACACACACACACACACACACACACACACACACACAAGTGCTGTTAGTCCCGTTCTGTGTTTGAGCAAATTATATGCATGTGCTAATTGTGCTTCAGGGTAACTGAGCATTTGAATCCTGTCATCCTCTTTTTTTGGGCAGGCGGCTGATGTTCGAATCTCCAGTGATTAGAATGAGTCTTTTAGGTGTTAAAGACCAGTTACTGTATTTGTCCCCAAAGTGCTGTTCTGTGGAAAGGATACTTTTACCAGTGTCCTCCTGTAGCCTGACTGGGCTTGTTAGTGGCAGAGAATCGAGTTCTAGGCTGGGAATGTCTGTTCCCCTGGTGTTGGGTTCGGTTGTTCAGATTTCTGTAGTCCGTGGTTGGTTAGTCATCATGTATTCTGGAATTAGATTTCTGACCACTTTGCTTTCTGTGATAAATTGTGGAGTTCTAGTGGTTTGGGTTGGTGTATGTTTCTCCGGTTCTTCCTCGTGCTGTCTCTTTTGTGCTCGCTTGGGACTGCACCAGTTTTTTTCCTTTCTTTAATTATACAATGATGCCCTGTTTGGAGTTCTTAGGAATTTTCGATGCTATGTAGTTGGTATCTTCTTGTTGTTTGTTTATCTTTCGAGTTTCTTGAGTGACCTCATGTTTTGGAGTTGTGATTGTTCCATCTTCAGGATTAGTTTCGTTCCGTTCTGGGTTGGGTCCTGTTTGTTGCTTGGACAGATTTTCTGTTGATGCTTTTGGGGGTCTATTTGCATTTGCTTTAGAGAGACGTATCTTGGCCAGTGGTTTCATATTTTTGAATGTTATCTTTTTTTGTTTGATGAATTATTTTACTGCGTAGAATTTTCTGACCAGCCTTTAATAAATTTTTTCCATAGTTATGTTTGTGAAAGATGACATTTAGATATAGATTTTTGCTATGACAACTAATATATATATATATATATATTATGTTTAATAGCTTTTTTGTAGTAAAAGCTTCAAAACGTGCAGAAACTCTCTCTTATTTACTGTATATTTTAACTCTTGCATTTTAAATATATTTAGTGTATTAAAGCCTTCTCTCTTGCTTTATCGGGTGGTTGTTCTGCACGCTTAATAAACAAACTCCAGCTGGTCCAAAATGCAGCAGCTAGAGTTCTTACTAGAACCAGGAAGTATGACCATATTAGCCCGGTTCTGTCAACACTGCACTGGCTCCCTATTAAACATCCTATAGATTTTAAAATCTTGCTTATTACTTATAAAGGCCTGAATGGTTTAGCACCTCAGTATTTGAACGAGCTCTTGTTACTTATAGTCCTCCACGTCCGCTGCATTCTCAAAACTCTGGCAATTTGATAATACCTAGAATATCAAAATCAACTGCGGGCGGCAGATCCTTCTCCTATTTAGCGCCCAAACTCTGGAATACCCGTCCTAACATTGTTCGGGAGGCAGACAGGAACATTGTTCCGAGGTCACTGTAGCAGCTGGATGATGACATCACTGAATTCAATGATGAACTGCCTTTAACTGAAGATTGAGTGTTTACTATTGTCCTTATGCATTATAGACACACTATTTTCCTATTTAATGCTGTACAGTTGCTTTGACACAATATGTATTGTTAAAAGCGCTATATAAATAAAGGTGACTTGGGGCCGCTGGGTTCAGTAGTAGTGTGTGCTCTGTGTGTTATCATAGTGGAAGCTGTAAGTTATCAGAGCAGTTTATCACAGTGTCCCGCAGCAGCAGCACTCACTCACTCCCTCCAGACACACACGGCCCTGAGTCTGCGATAGCACAGCGGGAGGACAGACACGCGTATCACATCCCTTCCGGCAGCCCACAGATAACCAGCAGCTCTAGAAAACTAAACTTCATTAATATGACCTTCAGCTGCACGAGAACACATGAATCAAAATTATTAACGTGACATAAGCGGAAGACGAAAACGGGTAACTTTGTGAATCCATAAACAACAGCCAAAGTGTGACTTACATTGGTGATTTGTGAGCCTTTAATGCTCTCACAGCAATGAACACATATTTGTAATAGAATGGCAGAAGAAACACATAATGACAAAAAGTGCAAAAATTACACAGCTAGTCAATCTTTCAAAACAAGCTAGCATACTTTGATTACAGTTATATATACCTTCATTGTTTCAAAACACTTTGTCATATGCAATGAGGATATTTGGTCTAATCGCTGAAACTCAACAGTATGATCATCTTTCAGGTTAGTACTTTTAAATATCAGTTCATTCAAAAGCAAACAATGCAAGATGCATGTTTCAAATCAGCCATAGAGTTGTCACATTAGAAAATACACTGACATTACTTAACACACTGGACAGACTGCATTACATACTTCATGTCAGTAATGCGAGTTATCAAAAGGTGTGATAAGTGTGGATGCTGTACACTGCTGGTGGTTGAGGAGAAACCCCTCATATGACTGTAAAACGCTTTGGGTGTACAGTAGTACATAGTAAAACACTTTGTGCAGGCACTAGTTTGTACTGTATGTGTTTGAGGGAAAGAGTTTGGGATTTGGATATAACATAGTGTTAACTGTTCTTGATAGTTATAATAAGAATTCTTAACAATGTGATCTCTCGTGGTCTAGCCTACTCTACTATATGTTACATACACAGGCAGCTTTGAGAAGACTATAATATTTAGTTATGTACTGCTCTCTTGTGGTGTAAAGATGTAACTATGAGTGCACGTTACTTCAACATGATCTCTGCTTCTGCTACAAACTGAAATATTTTGTTATTTAATAGATTTAGTTACCAAAAGAGATCCAGGGATGACATACATTAAACTTTTAGTGGAATGGGTTAAAACATTTCAGATACATCTCATAAATATTTGCTTCTAGTGTCTTTAGTTAGTCTTACTGAGTACAAGATGAATATATTCATTAACCGACCATTAACAAAAATTCATTTGCTTGTGATTATTCTCTCATTGTCTCGAATCTCATCTCAAATTTCATATCATTACACTTTTTAAATATATCTAGAAATCAGTCTTTATTAGCAGTTTAAACAGTTCATAAATCTATCACATGGGACATTAAATGTTTGCCAAAATAAGCTTCTTCTTTTTTTAAGCAAAATTAGGTTAATTAGTGTTATTTATAAGTTATATATAATGGACTGGCCAAATTTTTTAATTATAAAGTGGGGTTTGTGAATTTGCCAGGAAATATTACTTCAGTTGAGAAAAGAAACACACGTTTGTGAGAATGTGAGACAGAGTGGAGAGAGGCAGCAATAACGACTGAGGAAATGACATGCGTGTTGTTCCTGCTCACTGCTCGGTGATAATCAGCATATTATACTGATTTCTGAAGATCATGTGACACTGAAGACTGGAGGAATGATGCTGAAAATACAGCTGCACATCACAGAAATACAGCACAGTTTAACAGAGATTCACACAGAAAACAGTTCTTTTAAATAGTAAAAATATTCCAAATTTTTTCTGCTTTTGCTATATTCCTGATCAAATAAATGCAGGCTCGGTGAGCAGAAGAGACTTCTTTAAAAACATTAAAAATCTTACTGTTCAAAAACTTTTGACTGGTCGTGTACATCAAGGACACAACACAAAATAAGCTCCATCAAGTTGCAGGCACACGTAACTAAAGTTAACAAACACAGAACACAGGCTATAGAATGGACCAGTGATGTTTTACATTTGCATTATGTGAGAGTTATTATAACTCATGAGGGACAGTGGGAATACTGATGATCTAGAAAGCAGCACTCTTGCTTGTGTGATATTGCTGATCTATTACATTATAAAGAGAAAAATATGAATTCTTACAGAGGCAATTCATATCTTACATTTTGGGAGCTTTTTTTAATGAATCTTTGTTGCATTTCAGACCTTGCACATTGCTACTATTGCCCAAATTAGGCTGGCTTTATGAGCTGTTAATAGTGGTTTAGCAGCAGTGCTGAGGTTTGGGGCAAACACAATCGTTAGGCCAGATTTATATAAAAAAATAACATATCTTGCAAAAAGGCACTTATGTAGTCAGATTACAGATAGACATTTTCCCCAGTTCTATTTTGATAAACATGACACATTACAGGGAAAGTGTTTTTACTATTGTAAACGCCTGGATTTAAACCTTCAAATGCTTCAATGGGTGAGAAAATATATTTTTGGTAAAAGCTACATTTTTGTTTTGTAAATCTCATATTTGTGAGTCATATTTTATATGGACCTATGGGAGCGACCTTCTGCTTTTATGCTTACGATGACCTTTTACATCATGGAAAGAACTTGTCATATCTGCCGTTCACAAACGACACAACATGCCCGCTCTGAAGTGGAGGTAAACATGTATCATTTTTATTCAAATCCATTTAAATCACAGGAAAAAACATTTTGAATGCAGCACTGTTCCAGCATAAAATGAAAGAAAAAAAAACTGAAAATGATTTGTATTGGACACCCTTTAATCTACACCAAGCAAAGCAATGACATTTTTACTAATCAAAAACATTATTTAAGATGAACATAAGCGTGCTGAGGTCTGGGATTAAAATGTTTTTATTCCCTTTTTGTAAGATTATTTATGTATTGCCTTTATTCCATTAGGACAGACAGACAGGGAGAAAGTGGGATGTGATTGTTAACGGTCCTCGAGTCGGGACTTAGATGAGTTTATATGTACTTCGAGTATCAAGGAAACACATTTTTAAAAAAAAACTTTTTATATATTGTAACAAGTTGTACTACACTTGCTAACTATCCTAGAGAGATACTTTGACAGATTATGACTATAATATTACAGTATACAGTGCTGCATATAAGTGGAGAAAGTGAAGTCTTCAATATGCCAAAAAAGCCAAGGATTTAAAAGGTCTGTACTGAGCGAGTGATGTAAGCATGTATATATCATTTGTAAATCAAAACTAAGCTTTGTCTAATATGAGTGTTTGGGTCAGAACACGGAAGTACTTTATCCATGATTAATTTGATTTCTCTCTCGTCTGAGAAGAGCAGAGAACTTCCACGCGTCGATGCACTGCGAGAGCAGAATGTCTTCAGGGAAGAACTCGTCCACCTCAGGAGGAACGTCCAGACCTTTACCATCCATGTAGGGAACAACCGTTTCTTTCAGACTGGAGGACAGACAGAAATCAATCAGTTATGACACAGCCGCATATACTCAGTTTAACAGAGGCAGTACAAACACAGGCTGGTAGGCTACATGTAAACGTGACAGTGGGGCTCAGACGAGGATCGGTTCCTCATAACCAGTCAGAAATTACATTAAGTAACATTTCATGAGCCTTGAGTACACAAAGACAGCTTCATTCCTGAAAGAACGATAACTTGCAGTTCACTGAGTCAGATGTTGATACAACTCTGACATTTAGTGAAGGATTTGTCAGACTGATTCAAGGCAGTGACTTGAGGGAAAATAATTCATTAACAAGCTAATTTACCAAGACTTGACAGATGGGGTCAGATCAGAAATAGAAATCAGAAATAGAAAAGAAACATTTGGAAGTATTTATTACAGTGGAAAAACATAAGCCTTGTGTTGCCTTCCACATTTATATTCATCTATACACATGTATTCTGGTAATTATACGTACATTAACAACCAAAGCGAAAACTCACTTCAATCATGACAATTCTCTGAACATTTTAGCATGGTGATGGATATGACAGTGTTAATGTATTTGGTCTTGGCGGAACAGATCTGCTACACTGCTGCTGCTGTTGGTTATTGCTGTATTTGTAGATTATTGCTGCTGCTGCAAGCAAGTACAGGAACTTGCTACTGCCAATGCATATGGCGATACGGTAGAAATATTTAGACGCAAAGTCGGCAACACCAAAGCTCCAAAAGTATCAAAAAATTTATTTTTTAAAAAGACTGTCGCATAGCATATGTGACGTTTCGAGCACGCAGGCTCTTCATCAGACAGATATGGCGATACGGTGCCATGAGTATTTAAGACATGCTGCTGCTGCAATAACCCTGTAGCAGATCTATACAGGTGGAGCTGGGGAAGGTGGAGAGTTTCAAAGAACTCTGAAAGCGCGCTGCAGGAATCTCTAGTGAATGCTAGCCAGCCATATAAATGCAAGGCAGTAAGCTCATTGGCTGCATATGCAGCATGAACCAATCAGCTTGTGCCAAGTCATTTAACTCTGAATATGATCGGTTACGTTAACAACCAGTCGCATGCGCCCTCTAGAGTTTCATGACTGAACTATATATTTGTTCTGAATGAATCACAGTAATGATCAATGTTGTATTCAAAACAGCAAATTTTGCCTACCCCCAGTCAGGCCTGAAAGTGTGCGTGTCTTTTGGGTTCTTCAGAACTAAAAGCAGAAATTCATGAATCTCCATCAGGAAGGCAGCAGCGCTGGACTTAGTTATAAAACTAGTGAGCTGGCTCTTGTGTTCCTCCTGCAGAGGGTGCTTGTACTCCTCACTGATGTCCTTAAAAGGGTGCTGAAGAGCAGATGAACAGGCATGATCACACACAAACTCACTGAAAGCTCAAAGCAGAATGCCGTGTTTACTGTGTTGAGTGTCTCACCCCCTTCAGACGCAGCAGGGTCTCTGATTTCAGAGAGCTGAGCAGCTGCCACAGCGCCACACAGTGTTTAAGACTGCACCGGCTGAATGCCTGCACACACAATTAGCACTCATTCACTAAAGCGTCACACACTGCCAGACAGTTAGTTAAGACTCCCTATATTTTTCCGTATTGTATAAAGCACTATATAAAAAGGTTGACTTGACCTAATACCAGTGAAGATGGCATCCTAGTAACACTGCTCTGCACAGATAATAATGAAGCAAGCGTGTGTTCATGACTAACCTTGAGGACGTGTGGGGCAATGTTGTCAGTCATCTGTAGCACCTCCTCCAAATAAGTGGCCAGCTGCATGTGTGGCTCTCCTCCGGTCATAGCGAGGAACCCCAGAGCCAGCTCGACTGTGGACAGCGCTTCACACACGTCACTGTAGGACTGCAGCTCCTTCACGAGGTTGTGTTGTGTGAGAGCCTGCAATGACTCCTTTGAATGCAAAATCACAATTTGGCTTGTGAAACTAGACAAATATATCTCTGCATTGTAAACGTGGATTTAAATAAATATACATTTTTTATGTTGCATATAAAGAGAATGTAAAAAATGTTCATTAAGAGCATTTTCTAAGCTTTTTTTATAGACCTATGTCTAACAAACTTGTTTAATTGTTAAGCTGATGTATTGGTTACAAGTATTATGCTAAAACAAATAATGCAACTTACTTGTGGAACTTTGCCCTTCACATCCTTAAATATGATCTCATAATTTCTGTCCTGTCTGTTCACCACTGTCGGAATACCCTACACAAATAAATATGAATTAAAAAAAATTTAAAAAAAGTATTCATATCTATTGTAGTGTTTGTCAACTCCTAAAAAACTTCTGTTTTAACTCTGAGCACGTATTTTCAACCCTTGTGGTACTGTGACATACATTAAGGGTTATGAGCGGTTTGCCCTGTAGAAAGCGGGTGAGGATCTGCTGCTGAATCTTGGGCAGGTCGCACTCCATCAGTGTTTCTTGTCCGCGCTCCATGCTGTACTGGCAGTTGGACAGTATCAGAGGCAGCAGGTCCCGCTCATACTCATAACGGATCACATGCAGCTCCGTCAGGTCCGCTGGGCTTACCGTGTAACTGGAGGACACAAGACTTAAGACTTAAGACTGTACTTCAGTAAAGTACAGATACTTGACAAATCTACTTGAGTATTTTTATTTTGGGAAACTTTTACTTTACTAAGCATAAAATCATACTTTTTACTTCACAACATTTCATAAAAACACGTCGTTCCTGGTTATTTTGAACTGGAAAACCCGCTCTGAGACACGATAACAGTGTCTGATGGCAAGTTAGTAATGCTGAATTTTAGCATTTATTATTGTAAATGAAAATATTTAGGTCAAGGCTGTCAGGACTCGGGTTTGAACTCTTTGTTTTTGTTTTGTTCTTTTACGTGCGTTCGTGCACAGCTGATGGTGTTTGCTAATCAGCGCGATCGCTCGTTACTGCACACCTGTTTTCTTTTATTGCTGGATTTCTCTCCTATATCTATTCTGTTTCTTTCCTTGCTTTTTGCCAATGTGTTCTGTTTCTTTGCCGCTCTCTAGTCTGTTTATTTCGTTTATTATTTAGTTGGTTATGTTTTATTTAATTTATTTTCTTTCAGCCTGGTTGTGTTGCGGTTACCTGTTTTTCAGAGCTCACTGATCCTGGATTGACGTGTTTCTGACCTAATGGACTGTTATCGACTTAGGAGTTTGGATTTTCCCGGGGATTCTGTTCACCTTTTTGGATAGCCCAGCTGTTATGACCTTCTGCCTGTTTGAACTGTGAGCTTTGGATTGTCTGGACTGATCTGTCTGCGCCTTGCCTGACCGTTTTGCCTGCCCGACTCTGCCTTTTGTTATACGGATTGGATTTGTTTACTGATGGACTGGCCTGGACTTTGACTTGCCTGTTTGACCACACTCCTGTCTGGAATCATTTGGCTCGTAGCCTACTGTTTATTATTGTGCTTCAATAAATTGAAGTAAAGCATTCTTCTGCTTTTGGGTCCTTCCTTTCTGAAAGAAAGACAAAGACTCTTGTCTGAAGGCCTCTGTTTGTACTGCGTTGGGCATGGTCATCTAGCTGCATCTTGTCCAGTAAAAGCCAACGCTCGTCAGTAGTCAGGGGAATTCTGGCGAGCGAAACTTCTATTTCCCCAGCTCAAGGATCTCATACTCATGCCGGTGACTCTCATTAGGAATGGTACTTCCTTTAAAGGCTCAGCACTTATTGATTTGGGAGCGGAAGGGAGTTTTATTGATGAAGATTGGGCTCATGAGAGGGGTCTTCCCTTTTCCTCTCTTAATCCTTGGCTAAAAGTTGGCTGCAAACTTATGACACTTTCGTCAATAACCGGTCCGATGAGTGTAGTTACCTCTGGTAACCATGCTTTACATTGTTCCCTCATTAACTGGGCAGATAATTCTATTTCTAATTGGAGTCCATTTTGTTATGCACACAGTCTTGTTTCTGCTCCTTCTGTTTCTTCTCCTTTGTTTCAGGAGGAAGAGATCAATTTGTCCCGGGTTCCTGTCATGTACCATGATTTGTGGGCGGTCTTCAGCAGGTCCCAAACTGCCTCTCTTCCACCACATCGACCGTATGATTGTTCCATCGATCTTCTCCCAGGCACTTCCCCGCCTCGTGGTCATCTTTTCTCCTTGCCCGCACCTGAGTGGGTGGCAATTGAGAAATATCTGTCAAAGTCTCTGGCTGCTGGTATCATCTGTCCCTCCTCTTCTCCGGCAGGTGCTGGGGGGTTTTTTTGTAAAGAAGGATGGCTCTCTGCGCCCTTGTATAGATTATCGGGGGCTGAATGACATTACTGTTAAGAACAGGTACCCCCTGCCTCTTATGTCTTCAGCTTTCGTTCTTCCGTTCGGTCTTCCAAGTGTCTTCCGTCTTGTCAATGACGTGCTGAGTGATATGATCAATAAATTTGTTTTTGTGTACCTGGACGATATTTTAATAATCTCTCCTTCCTTCCAGGTGCACATCTGGCACGTCAGGCAGGTGCTCCAGCGGCTACTTGAGAATCTGTTAAGGCGGAGAAGTGTACCTTTCATGCTCAGTCGGTTTCTTTTTGGGGTCCATCATTTCGGTGGAGGGGATTCGCGTGGACCCTGTGAAGTTGAGAGCCGTCTCTAACTGGCCGGTGCCTGACTCAAAGAAGAGTTTTCAACAGTTCCTGGGTTTCGCCAATCTCTATCGGCGATTCATCAGGAACTTTAGTCCGGTAGCGGTCCCTTTGACCGCTTTGACTAACCACAAGGTTAAATTCACCTGGCGGGGGTACTGTCAGGGCTCTGGTTTGATCTCTTTGTTTTTGTTTTGTTCTTTCAATTGCGTTCGCGCACAGCTGATGGTGTTTTCTGATCAGGGCGATCGCTCATTACGGTTTTCTTTTATTGTTGGATTTCTCTCCTATATCTATTCTGTTTCTTTCCTTGTTTTTTGCCAGTGTGTTCTGTTTCTTTGTCGCTTTCTAGTATGTTTCTTTTGTTTATTTAGTTGGTTTTCGTTTTATTTAATCTATTTTCTTTCTGCCCAGTTCTGTTATGGTTACCTGTTTTTCGTCAGAACTCACTGATCCTGGATTGACGTGTTGCTGACCTAATGGACTGATATAGACTTTGGATTTTCCCGGGGATTCTATTTGCCAGACTCGCCTGTCTTTTGTCACATGGATTGGATTTGGTTACTGGTGGACTGCCCCGGACTTTGACTTGCCTGACTCGAAGCCTACTAAAGTGTTTAATATTGTGCTTCAATAAATTGAAGTAAAGCATTCTTCTGCTTCTTTTCCTCCAGAGATTTTTACACAGGCTGTCTTGTTTGCAAGCTAAAGCTAACGGCTGTAAAATAGTTGTCAACTGTATGAAATGCTTTTACTGTGATGTCACCTTAAAACTGCAAAATGATAGCATTAAAATACATGTCCGTATTTGTGTACTACCATCTGAATGTGTTAAGTTTTATTTAAAAGCTAAACATTACAATACCGCAAATGAATGCATCCTCCCTACTGCAGTAGCATTAAAACTAGTATGTTTGCACAGCATTGTTCTTAAAATACTAACACATTTTACTCAATGTAACTTCTTTTTTTTTATATTGTATGTTTATATTTAGCAACACCTTAGCAAACAATATTTTGTTTTATCTCAATTCTATATGGTATATTTTGTAATTTTTCTTGTTTGCACACTTGAATTATCACACTTGAATGACATAAGGTGTCTGAATTCCTTACCCAGACTCCTCTCCGGTGTGTTTTTCCACAGTGTACACAAGGTCATTGTGAAGGGCGATGAGGTAGCTGACGAGGGCAGTGGAGCACAGGCCCAGACCACGTCTCTGCGGCAGCAGCACCTGCAGGTCAGCGTCCAAACCCAGATCCTCCTGAGTGTATTCAGCCGGCAGCTTTATCTCTCCTGACAGAAGACGTTTCATTTGTCAGCAGAAAACAATGCTCATCTGCCCAAGAAAGGATTCAACAGTAGTCTGAAACAGGGTTAGTAAGTAGGGGCTGGATTACCTGTGGTAGCCAGAGATACCCGGAGTTGGTTCCATGTTGACAAGAAGATGTTTATGCACTTTTTATACCAAGCTAATGAAGCTGTCGGTTGAAAATATGACACTATTACTGCGTTTACAGTGAACATAATTATTTATAGAGAAATGTCATATGCTTGCATGATTGCTGAACACTTTTTCACAAAAAATGGGTAAATTACCCATCAACAAGCTTGCTGAAATTATTAACAATTAATTTATCATCAATCAACCATGAACATCCACACACTGACCCTAAGACAGGGCTGGACAACACTGCCCATTTAGATTCTGACCTTGGTTAATTTGTTCATGTGTGTTTGATTAGGGCTGGAGTGAACTCTGCAGGAAACTGAATCTCAAGGGCCATAGTTGCCCACCCCTGCACCAAGACAACATTTAGTCATGGCAAACAACTTCTTCATTCTCTAATATATGGCTAATACCTTCTTTATGGCTATCCAGAAACTCTTCTATGGTTTTGAAGGTTAGGTCTGTCATGTTCTGGAACTTCTTTATCAAATCCCTCTGGAGAACCAAGATGTCAGGAAGGAACCTCACTAGTCGTAACTCTGCTTCCTAAAATAAAGTGTAATGGCTAGATCAGATACACAATTATTTGTTATATTTCACAAACAATCCACAACACTCCTCACCCAACAAGAAAACCATGAGGGTAGAGTCTTATGGAAGCCTCCCCTGAACTGCTGCTAACCCCAGATGTAGCACAGGCATCTGGTTACCATGGCAGCAAAGATGCATAAGATGGAATTTAGAGAGAATTTCTTTGACACTCACTTAATTCACTATGAAACAGACACATAATGCCCATTAAAAATTACTTATTTTCATTAATTCTTTGACAAACCTTTCTATGAATGTACAAGCATATTCCCAGGACACGGTATATATAATTAGTCTTGTATATTGTCTTTCATATTGTAAATTATTTTATGCATGCCTCATAATTGATTGACCACTAGTTAAATTAACCTCATCTATATAATGCTTGATATCAAAATAATCCTCATTTAAGTTATTAATTAATATTATTAATTAATAACATGCATTGTATGCTCGTTCATCCAACTGTATATTAGGTTTAACTTGTTTAAAGGGGTCATATGATGTGATTTCAAGTTTTCCTTTCTCTTTGGAGTGTTACAAGCTCTTGGTGCATAAAGAAGATCTGTAAAGTTGCAAAGACTAAAGTCTCAAATCCAAAGAGATATTCCGACATCCACGCCCTCCTAAAACGCTGCATTTAAACACGCCCCCACATGTCTGTGTCACTATGTGGGAAGATTTGCATAACGCCCCCCAAATGTTCACGCAAAGAAAGAAGGCGTAACTTTTATTCTCACTGTAGTATTGTTGCCGCCGCCGCTGCCATGTCGTGAAGACTCTGTTTCGTTGTGAAAGCGAAACTACTTTGTTTGGTCTTCCAAAAGAGGACACGACTAGAAATCAGAGATTAAGTTGTATTTACAACACTGTTCCAGAACACTTCAACCCAAATATTCAGATGTGTGCAGTGCATTTTATGGAGGACTGTCTCCTGATCCTGGGAGAGTAGACTACAATGCCGGCTGTTCTGACTCACAGACTGCAAGTACGTTTTCATATTTAAAGGACTTGCCACTGACGATTCAAACGCGAGTTTTGAGCAGTGTAGAGTAGCGTTTGTAGTTTGTCATTTCTCAGATCACAAATGCAGGCATGGTTTTATGTTTACGCGGCACGATGCAACGCAACGCGTAAAAAGACAGTATAAGTCATAATAATCAGTAATTATGTCCCCACTGGATGCAACAAATGCCTGGTTTATAATGGGTTTTAATGTTTTTGTCTCGTCGCTCCGGCCAGACAGGGCAGCACAGTATGGTGAGGGGCGTAACATTTCCGTCACACGCTTGAGGTATTCAGCCAATCACAGCGCACTGGATAGCTGGCCAATCACAGCACACCTCGCTTTTCAGACTGCTTTGTAAAAATCGACGCATTTCAGAAAGGCGGGGCATAGAGGAGAAACAATAATGTACAGTATGTGGAAAATAATGTGTTTCTTAACCTTAAACCGCATAAACACATTTCATTACACCAAATAATGTTATTTTTAAGCAATGTCATATGACCCCTTTAATCTGTAATCCTAATTTATGTCCAAAAGAAAGTTTCCTAAAGAGTGTACAAAGTAACTTTTCTGCTATTTTTTCTATGATTCCTCTACACCTGTTAACCTTTATATATATATTGTTCCCATGCTGCTTTATTATAGTGAAATAACTTCAGATAAACCCGCCGTTAATATCTTACCCTTTGAAGGAACCTCCAGAGCATTGGTAAAGTGTCCCGGCCATTGTTTTGCTCCACAGTGTGGGCCAGACTCAACAACGAGACCTTCCTCCTGCAGCTCCAGATGGATGAATTATGGATAAGGGAGTTCTGGGGCAAAGAGCTCAGGAAAAGCTCTGGTTTCCCAAATGTCAGCTTCATCACCGGATTAGATGACACCCGCTCATCTTCCCTGATTAATTCATTCACTTTCTTTAGCTGTTGCTCCAGAACCTGAGAGAAAGAAAAAGATCAAAGAATAGAAAGTAGAGCTTCAACTAATAATCATTTCAGTAATCCAGAGGCTGACAAACTCGAACTCCTCAGACAGGGTGAAATAAAGAGAGATCACAAAGATCCACCCAAATCCATTCATAACTATGTTTTGAAATGGATGTAAACTATAGGGGTGCTCTAATCATTTGGGTACCAACGGCTATCAGCTCTAATGAATGTGAGAGGTATGGCAAATATGTCTATCACATTCTGAGTCTCTAGAATGTGAGGAAAAACACATTTACAGACACACTATGTTCAGAGTCTTTGTCCCAGAGAGACAAAAGACACAGACATTTGCAACAAGTTTAAGGTCCTGCAAGCAAGCCTTCAGCGCTGCATGTTTCAAAGAGAGCACACACTTTGCTCACATGATCAGCTTGTGCATATAAGTTTACAGTGAATGCAGCAAACTCTATCTTCGCCTGTGTTGTGAGTTTCACATGCTTTTGGGAATGCAATGGGCACCAGTTATGCACTGTTTTTACATTTCCAACATTTTTGTGGACATATGATTACAGTATTTCATTAAATTTCCAATGAGACACATAAACCTGTTTTCACACAAAAAGTTTTCCGCCAATATTAAAGCTTGAGGGTTTAACTGAAAATGAAAGCACTTACGAGAAATGTATTGTAATTTTCCTACTGTAAAGTATTAGGAAATGTGAAATTGTTCATTTACATTTATTTTACAGTGCAACTGTATTACAAAAGTGATACAAAAACGTCATATCTGTTTATGCCGTGGGGGAAAACAAACTATTCGAATTAACGCGTGTAGTGCTTGATCTTTACGTTTTGTAATGATTACGACAGATTTTTCCTTGCAATGCCGAAAAGTTGCTGTGTGGTGTCCTGCACCTCCAATAAGTTAAAAAAAAACAGATCTGAAGCTTTATATACTGCCGAATAAACAGATGGAGCCGGCTTCACATCACAACGAAATAAATAAATGGAGCTCCCTGATATTTTGTAATGCAAAACCACTCCCACAAAGCCACTGGTGAAAAAAATCGTGAGCCTCCAGGGACACATGATACATCATGTTGCTCTGCGAGATGATTCCTGTGTGATAGAGCTATTAGCCTATATTCGGTGATGTGCTATGTGTAACATCGCTGCTACAGTTGAAACTGTGCATGGAATGTCTTCATTTAACATGCTAAGGCATTCTAGTCTTTTATATCATAGCTTTAATGAACATGGGATAACAATATAGACTGTTGGATGACCCTGGGATACTGATATTACAGTCAGATTGAATAATCTAAAACACGGGTCAGCAGCGCTGCTTTGTTTACAGCGGTAACAAAGGAAATGCGGTATCACTGCTGTTCCATAAGCGCCACCTGCTGTCAGAGAGTGAATCTGCATCTCATTCAGCCCGCCTGCTTTTATGTAGAACAATTTCACTAAGCTAGTCAGAGCTAAGTCAGACCATTCTGTTTTTGCTTCAAATGCATTTTCTGCTGGAAAATGCGGACATGATATTTCTTAAAACAAAAAAATCCATGCTAGGAAAGAGCACAGGCAAAGCCTTAGTTTTATTACATGAACATATTTATTTGATTTGTATTATTAATGAATTTATTTATTTGATTTGGGATTTGTTTTAAAGCTTCAATTTATTTTTGTTACTTTACAAAAGATATTTCAATTTCACAAAGAAATGTGCAGAATTTTGTCTGAGAAATAATAAAAGGGCAATTTTTCCATTTATAATTTGTCTTAAATCTCATTTTGTAAAAAAAAAAAAAATCATATCATGAAACCAGTATTGTGAATCGAATCGCTTCGTGATTTGAGTGAATCGTTACATCCCTACTACTCCAGTTTTGCTGATTTTTGTTTATGGTACTCAGCTGCAACTAAATATTTTGCAAACAGAGACACACAATGAATATGTTTGATATATCAATGTTTGATTAATTTCTTTAGAACCAAAACTGGGAATCAATAAGAATCTGAATCAATAAGTAAAAGTGGAATTGGAATTGATAAAATTCCCTCCCTTGTGCCTGTGTACTTGGATCATGTTTATTGGATTACTGCTTTTTGCCTGTCTGGACTGACTATTTTGATCATTGAGCACTGCCTGTATTTCTGACCATCCATATGCCTGTTGATATGGATTCACTGTTTCCTGGGGTGTAAAGTAACGAATTACAAATACTCACGTTACAGTAATTAAGTAGTTTTTATCAGTAATTGTACTTTTTTGAGTAGTTTAAGAATTGTGTACTTTTACTTGAGTACATTTTAAGTGATGTATCGGTACTTTTACTCCGCTATTTTCCTCCGTTTGTGGTCGTTACATGCAACTTAATATGTTAAGGTAAATTTCGGATTTCTGCTTACTAAATGATTTGTATATATGCTTGCCTATCTACACGGCCTGAAATTTGGTGTGAGGTTGCGTGTATTGCGTACAGTGTTAACTCCCGCAAGTGCCACGTTCAGTAAATTCCCCGCTCACTCATGAGACAGCCTCGTCTCTCTCTCGCGTGCGTTCTGCAGCGGTCACTTGGATACGTAGTTGTTGCTTGTGGAACTTGTTGACTTTTGATGAGTTTGAGAGCGTGATGCGCGCTGTGAAAAAGTGTGATGGAAACACAAATTGAGGACCAAATCTGCACCTTATTGACCCGTGGCGTTAATATACTGCATCTGTGCCAGCGCCTGATGTAATAAAACTGCAGCTCATTAATAAACTTTAAAAAAAAAAAAAAATTTTAATCCATTTTATACAATCCGCCTTCATTTAGCAAGTGCTCTCGCGCATAAACAATTTTCAAGTTCAACACTTTTTGTTCCATTCAGTTGTGGATGCTGCTGATTCACCGAGAAATTTCTTTATTGCAAAAAGCTAAAACTGGCAGCGTTTTGGAGAGAAATGGGCTCTCATTTTAACCCATATCATGGTGTGTGATGCTGAACTATGAGTTTCTAATTAGGGCCCGAGCACCGATGGTGTGAGGACCCTATTGGAATTGCTCCGTTTCTTATTATTCTTCTTCTTCTTCTCCAAAGTGAATCGCATTTTTGAGGGCCTAAACATTCTCCAAAACTCATGAAACTTTCCACACGGGTCAGAACTGGCGAAAATTTACATCTGATATGGGTTTCAGAAGTGGGTGTGGCAAAATGGCTCGATAGCGCCACCTGTAAAATTTCAACGGAGTGCGCCTCGAGCTACGTTTTACGTACATGTACGAAAATCGGTACACATGTGTAACACACCATTGCCTACAAAAAAGTATCTTGGTACAAAATCCAAAACCCAACAGGAAGTACATTATTCTGAATTTACTGTACAATTTTGTGCAGTTTTTGACATTTCCAGTCCTCGTACTTTGACGAAC